CTTCTTCAGAGCCTGGACGTATTTTATACAATACCTTAATTATTCTGGCTTATTATAAGGCTAAAGTATTAATGAAGATCAAACTTTGAAATAGATGGCGGGTCAGGAAGCTACGGTCAAATGTAGTTCTACGCCATATTGAACAGAAAAGCTACTCACCGTGCTGTTACGAGCGGGACTGCCCGTTTGTTGTTCACGTGGGACAACGAGCGAGACACACCCGGGTCAGAAAAGCAATTTGAAATAAGGCTTTTTGGTTCATCTTTGGATATTCGAAATTTGTCCAAAACGCCTCAAGAGTTTTGGGCGTTGATATTTTTGATTCCTGAGCCTAGATCCGCACAGTCACTTCAAAATCATCGCTGTTGTGCCTCTGTGCCCTACACGTACCTAGAGGAGTGTTTTGACGAATTTTAGCTTTCCCATTTAGATGTTCTTTTATGCGGACACAAAGAGGTCTACCCGTTTTCCCAATATATTCCTCACCGCATGCGTTTCATGAGATCACGTATATTATATCTGAACTCATGCAATCCCCGTCTCTCCCGTTTGGACAGATCATACAGTTTTCTAAGCTGCACAAACGATCATAGGGACGGTTTCGAACCAACTGACGGCGTAGGGTATTGGGTGGGATGTCAATAATTGACATTACTTATTAATTAATTAACTATAAAAAATTTTTCATTCGAAACGCCTATAGATAGGAATTAAGTAGTGCTTGAAGTTCAGTGGTTAGTGATGCGTTGCATATGCATTGTTTCGCTCCAAAAGAGCCAAGCAAACCATATATCCTTTCGATGTTGGCACAGCTCCCTCCAATCCATCAAGGATGGAAAATGCTTGTGGTGAAAAGCCGGCACCGATGGACTACCTTAGGATTCCAGGGAGAATTTACTCGACCAGCATTCAATCCAATCATGAAGGAAGCAAAGTTTTCGAATGGTAGCCTACCACATAGAGATCGTGCGAATTTTGTGGACGATGGATGAGAAGCGAATTACTGTAATCTGCACTATATATAAATTTTGGTTAAACAAGTGAAAAACTAATTAATGAAATAAAAACATCATGCAGCACGTTGATCCGCATTATTTCATGATACACTTCACGTTTCGTCAGATTTCGCCTTCTTTAGAGCAGGAAAGCTCAAGTTTATGTGCAATCCACTCAACCAAGTACTTCCGTAGTCCAACAGAAGCTGTTTTGAATACGACTAGAATTTAGGCTTCCCACCTTCCCAGCGTTACCTTTTCAGGCATTAAAAAAAACAAAATTCACCGAAACTCCGAATCCGAGTGAGTGAGTGAGTCTACATACAATTTTAATTTTCTTGCTCAGTAGACACGCACTCACTCACTCAGATTGACTTTTGGTAGATTTTGCTTTTTTCAGAGCCTGGAAAGGTCATTTTGATCTACAATCTGGCCAGGAAATACTTCCGTAACCTTTCCAAAAAAACCCGAAACCTAAATTCCAATCCAATCCAACCTAAATTTCGACTTTACATATATTTTTACTCTTTTCTTGCTCAGTAAAGTCTGACTGCTTGTCTTGAATGCTAACAGTTCGGCGATTAGAGACCCATAATATGCCAACTACTGAGCATTTCTTCTCTCATAACAATCAGCCTGGAGCTTCTTAGGCCAGTGCAAGCGCAAACCACTAACTTCAGTGTTCTTCAATTCGTTCCAGACCACAAGTAAACTAAGCATACTAGGTTCCATATTCGATGAATTAGTAGAAGCACATTCGAGGAAGACGTTGCAAAACAGCTTGTCGTTTAGTCCATTTAACCCCGCCAAATTAATGCATTTGCAATCTGTACAAAAACCAAGACTGAGCAGTGCACATCTATTCGGCTGCCGACATCTGCTAACCATTATACTAAATAGTGCCACTTGCATTGAAACTGTGTTTGAAACCTAGTCGCATGCAGAAGAACTAGGCAGACTTCAGAAGGCTGGCTTGTGTAACCTATGTTACAGTGGTTTGGCATGATTCTCTAATGGAAGTCTCGAAAAAATCGTGCCAGTGTGAAGCATTCGGGCGATAGAATTCTCCACTATGCTTTTTCCACCTAATGGGTATTCGTTTGCTTTTGGTAGATAACATAATAGATCGTCAGAATTCGGTTCCAGAATGCGCAATGAGACGTGTTTCCGAAGTCCCTCACGGTCGGGAAGAATCAACGACGACGTCCACAGCGGCTGGGACCCCGGACGAGATTCCATGTGGAGCTTGCCTTTGACGATTGTGATTAGGAATTAGAAACTGGTTATTAGTGGTTAGAGTGGTTTGAGGAGTTACAAAGAGGGTGTACTTATTTAGATATAAAAATAATGGGTGTGGCTCGAGATAATGAAATATCCAAAAGTGTGAAGAAATGCAAAAAACATGCATAAACATTGAAATAAGACATGATTGGGCTCAAAAACTTCGCCGCTAATTAAACCTCAACGGTTACTAAAGTGATTGTGGTGTCACAAGCTAAGCTAAACTGGATGCTCCCACTTCATCTGGGTCCTCACAACATATTTGAGTCCCAAACCTTTGTGTGGTTTTAATCAGATCGTTTTCAACTTGACACGGACTTTTCTATCAAAAGGTTGGTTTATACAATAAACATGCGCAATAATCTGTAAGTAACATTGTTCGTCGAAGTACGAACACTCATTACGATTCTTAAACCGACCGTCATTTAACTCGGAAGTAAAATAATCAAGATGTTAAATAAACAACTGTGGAGTATACACAGGGTTGATAAACAGGTGCAACTCATTACGATGTTCAAACTATTAGAGTGGAACTAAGATTAAATAAAACAAACCAAAACTATAAGTAAAAACACTAAAAGAGAATATAGAACTATATGAATAAAAACAAAAAGTCTCGTGTGGCGCAGTGGTTGGAGGCTCCACTGCGACAAACACGTGGAATCGATCCTCGCGCTTGTGGCCCACCAAGCCATCCATCCCTCCGAGGTCGGTAAGCAAACTAGACTTGTCTGGGAGGATAGAAGCACTGGCTTGATGCATCGGTAGGTCACCGCGAGTCATTGTAAAGACCAGATATGCATTCAGCCACCTCCAACGATACTTAGTGAAATCGAATGCATGGCGCGTCCCTCAGGGGTTGATCCACGCCGAGAGCTTTATGAATAAAAACTAAAACGACCGCTTATCCCTCGTACTCGTTTAACAATCAATCTGTTGTCTTACTTTCTATCCACTAGAGACAGTTTTGTGGGTCCAATGTTGTTCACATATTCTACGATTCAATAATCAAGGAAGAGGTAAGTTCGAAAGGCATGCATGAGTGTGAATGTGTGAATGCAGAAGTCATATGCGAACACATCAGAGAGTGTGTGTGTGAGAGAGAGAGAGAACTAATACTATGATTCCAACGTCGTTGCTGGACATGCACACAGCTCTGTTTTACAATCTTGCTGTCGAAGTTCATTGAAGGAATGTAGCTACCGTAGTTGAACCAGAAGCAAGAATTCCTACGCAGGTCTTCAAGTATTCCATACTTCTGTCACAATAATTTTCATGATCAGCCTCAAATACCTCAAAAATACTTCGGAACCTCAATTGATAAAGGAAATAATTGGTCTGAAATCCAGAATGAGGACCATATTTGAAAAGTGCACCACACTATGTAGGGAATCGATATCACGGTGGTAGTGATGCTTGGTCATCGGGACAGTCGTAAGGATAAGGGTGCGTCCCTATGTATGAGTCGGTGGATGATACATTTAACGTTGAACAAAAGTGACACGCTGTGAGTCCGGAATTGAACTTTCTATCTTTGTTGTGATAGATTAACAGATATCTTTTGAATACGAGATGTGTTGCTGCATTTATTGAAGTTGCAAAGATTAACAAAATCATGTGTTGAGCTTTGCACACCATAACCAATATAATCTGTTCCCATTCTCTAAAATGAAGATGGCAGAGAAACGAGAGAAGTTTCAAACATTGGCTTTTCAAATTTTACCTGTGAAATGTGGCTAATCAACAAAAATCAAGCTGAAAGAAAACGAGAAAGAGGGCCGACGAGAGAATAGAAACTATTGCTTCTGCGCGCTCTACCTCAACTGCACGCCTTTTATCGAAACGGTAATGGAACTGACAAAATCTTGAAGGAGAAATGGTCATGGAAACAGAAACAATTTCGAAAAATGTTCAAGGAAATCGATAATATCCACACAATAGCTAACCTCTACGAAGTATCCAAGACATTCTTAAACCTTTTATTTACTGTCTTTTTCTTTTTTTTTTTAATGGCAGAGTATGTTGCGAAATACAACTCGTATATAATGCTGGGATATTTGCAAAACTCCGGACCGCAGGTGTATGCGGTGAGGAACGAACATGCGCTGTTACGAGTTATACAAGACATTATTTTGTCTTACTTTCGTCCGAATAAAAATGAGGTTCAATTCAGGAAGGAGAAACCGTCGTGAAGTTCTGGAGAACCAAGGCGACTCTGTTTAGTAAATAAGTGAATCAAAGATCATCAGAACAACTTCACAACCAGTAGTTTACCATGCTACAAAAAGAACAGCATCGAGTTAAACGGAGGAATCCACTAGCACGAGAACAAACTCGGAAGCGATGTCATAGCGGTGGAATCCGATGTCCGGCAACCACGCCATTTTGCTATATCGATGAAATTATTAGTATAACATCATGCCTTAGCAAAACCGAACAAGTGGCTACCGGTCTTCATGAAGCCTTATCCAGATTTGTGGAATATAATTCATGGTCAAAGAGAAGAAATCGATAAATATAATAATATCACTACCCTCCTAAGTAGTTCTCGAAAAGGATACTTTTCGCTCTTCTTCTTATCTTCCCAGTTTATAGTGTTTCTTTTCGGACAAGCATTTTAGAAGCATTGCGAAAAAGTAAAGTGAACATCCAAGAAATGAAAATAGAAGACAAAACTTTTAAAAAAGTGTTTCTAATCTAAACGTTACACGTACACTGGATCCGTTAGTTACTCCGTAGAGCATCTTGCCATTCAACTTCATCGTGTGCCCTCAACTGCATCACGGTCGCCATCGGAACAAGATATCCGGGCATCTTAAAAACTTAGGATTGCGCTATTGCAATTCAAAGTCATAGCTTTGAAAAACACCTGCTTCCTTTTTTGCCATACGACATGGACGACAATAATAGAAGTATTAGCAAAGCCAAAAGTTAAATATTAAAAGGGTCTATATATATAACGCCATAACTAGTAGTGATTTCAGCACTGCTAACCTCGGCTTCGTAAGTGGTATTTTCGAAGATGGGGGTGGGGGCTGTCGTTGAAGTGGCATAGATGGACGATCAGCTTCATGTTCGCAGAACGTGGTGGGATTCCCTAATCCTGAGTCTTGAACGGATTCCAGTATTCATCGGCTAGACCCATTCCTTAGAAATATCTATGAGCCTCATTAACAAGCACTGGTACACATGATGATTTAGCTTTTGCGAAGGACACTTTCATGCTCAGATCTATGTAAATTTCCTGGGCGGAGAATACAATAATCCATGTCGTCAATCAAATTCGTAAAAATAAGTACGTGACTGCTCAGCTTTACATTTACATTTATTCCTGGACGACTCAAACAAGCCCTCTAATGTTATTTATGAAAACACAAATTATCAAGAACAATTATCAAGACTTATACTTACTTACTTGATACTTGAACGGACCGTCCTCACTAGTTGTGCGGGCCACAGCACAATCACCATTTTTCGGAGATTTGCTGGCCAAGCCACTGTGGTTCCCTGGAATCCCGAGAACAGCCTGGCCAAAGTCTTCCTCATGTCGTCACCACGACAGACAGTCGCAGCCCTTGTGGATCAGAGGAATGAAAAGTTAGAAGTATTGTAATGAAAGAATTGTGGTTGATAGTTTCTCACATTTATATTCATCTTCCTCAAAAAGCCAAACTGCTAAAATGTCGGTTGGAAAATTAGTTAAGAGAAGAAGAGCTTTAATCACTTTCTGAGGCGAAACGGTTAGATTTTCACGCAACAGAACTCTACTGGTTTACCCGTTTCATTCTTTGGCACTTCCATTCTTTCCTACGGCCATCCTAATTCAACACTTGGACCTATCGGCGAAATTTTTGTATAATGTCTGGTTTTGATGGCTAGAAGACAACTGACCTTGACTCGAATGTGGTACATCTTGATTTTCTCGAAGTCTAATGGTTCTGTGAGCCGCAGCTGTCCGGTCAACGGCTGTACCATCACAGGAAAAGAAGGATGTGAAGAAATCAGCAAATAGAGGATGGCGTGGTTCTGGATATTACTTTTTTCAATTTGTAAAATTTCAGCTTATTGATCCTTTTGCTTTTTCATTTACTCCAAAAGCAAAGGTAAATAATATTTTGTATTGAATGAATCAATGGGCAAAAAGTAATGAAAGAGACATGCACTCGTAAACCAGAAACCCGAACGGATTTGGCATTAGTGTGCTTTAGATTAAAAGAAAGGAAAGAAACGATTAAAAGAAAGAAGAAAGGTAAGAAATGGCAAAAGATCGATAGAACTAGGTGAGAGACAGCCGAAACGAAGAAACCGCATGGTGTGGTGGTGAACGCGTTATTCCCCGGAAAAGACAATAGCGCGTTCGTTCCCCACCGCAAACACCTGCTGTCCGGAGTTTTGCAAATATCTCAGCATTGTAATAGTTATATTTCACAAAATACCCTGCCGTTAAAAAAGTAGACAGTAAATAAAATGGTTAAGAAAGGAAAGAAAGCTGAGCTGCACGGAAGAAAGTGAGTATTTAGCCAGCTATTCACATACATTTTTAAAATTTGCAAATAATAAGTTGAATTTGACGAATAAACACACTTTATGGGCATTTCCAATATTGAGGAAGAGCTCAAAAAGAAGAGCTCGTAGGTAACTTCCCACCTTCTTGCCCTCGTCGTTAGTGTGAACCACATAGAACGGCTCATCGAGCGACAGGTTCTCGCTCACAGTAATCTCCAGCGCGTCGAGTGGGTACTTTGGAGAATTGTCATTATGGTCTTGAATCAGAATGACCGCTCGTGTTTGATTTGTAGCGCCATTCAACAATTCGGTCTTAGAAACACCTATGCACATCCTATGAGGAACGGCAATGCGGGTAGATGGACCCAGAGAAACGATGAAACTAAAAAATACAAACAGATTTGATCTGCTTCAGAAAACTTCTAATAAGAAAAAATAATCCTTGAAAAATCAATAAATAGATATAATCTAAAAAACTGGGATAAACACTTACAACAAAAGATTGCATTGCATTTTCACTCTCTTGCATTTTCCCTGTTTGGTTATGGAGATGTTTGGCCGTGTAGTTTGCAGTCAACTTGACCCTTCCAGGCTCTGAGGAAGGCGAAATCCGCCGAAACGTCAGCTTGTACGTAAATAAAGAAATAAAATAACACATCGTGTTTGCTGAACAGAAGTAGAAAAAAATAATCATCGTTGTAAGACAGTCACTTTGACGATATGCACCATATCCTGGACTATTATCTTTCAAATTGAGGCAACTTTGGCGAAAGAGTACAGAATGTGGTGGACTCCGAACGTTGAACCAACCTGAACATTCAGAACGACACGGTCATGTTTCTCAGAGTCCACGTGCCACCGCTATCTGAGCACTGTCTGGATGGATCAGAAACTGATTGTCGGCATCACCAGAATAGATTCTGAAGGCAGATTGAATTTGCTCAGACCTTTGTTTCGCACCGAATAGAGTTTATATTGAATTCGATTCTTTTACGATTGAAAATGCTCTGGTTGCTGGATTGCTGGAAAGAAATTTGTCAAATAAAGTGCTCTCTTAGAAAAGTAATCTTTATAGAGATTTTGTTACGAGTGCAAAACGAATGGTGTTGTCCTTCCGAATGGTGTGGTTTTATTTACTTTTGCCTCATTGGTGATGATTCTTGTTTTCTTCGTTGCAGTTCACTTTGATAATGGTTCATGTGGTGAGTATGGAAGAACTGAAATTACTACGCCAACTTGTATTCATATCGGAAATAACTCCGAGCACACTTTGACCCTTTGTCACCTAATTTGTTCCACATAGTGTGACACTCCTACCGTATCTTACCAGTTATTGTACCTGCGTAAATCATGTTAGACTTAAAAATTAGAGTATGTTAGCTCGGCGAGAAAGTAATTCCCATTTGCTGATGGCTTTTGTCCTTTTTAATAAGGCATCTCGAGAGCGTTTATCCGAACCTTCTCTCAAACAACATTCAATGATTCGGATATCCAAAAACCACTTGTAAATGGAAAAAATAAAGAAATAATAAGATAAAGAAATAAAAATTTTTGAAATGCCATTTTTTTCCAAAACTGTTGTAACGCTTTGGACAGCAGATTTCCCAGAATATTATAATAAGAGAGAGAATTCCGTTCTGGTATTCATGTGACCCACTTGTTAAAAGTGCCCTGCAATACACACGCGGTCATTGGTTCGATACTACACGCCGGTCTCAGCATGTTTTCCATCGCTCTTTTGCTCACACATTGGTACTAGACTGGTGCGGTGGAGGATAGAAAACTCTGAAGTGATGCACTAGTAGGCCCCTGAAAGTCATTCTTTAGGCCAGATACTTATTTGACCAACTCTTAGGTGCCTTCTAAAGTCAGAATCACGGTGCATCGCTAAAGGATTGGTCACCGTCGAAAGCCTCATGCCCTTCATCTTTAATCCATGTTTGGGACGATAAAAACACTAACGTGACACGTCAGTAGGACACTAGAAATTATGCATAAGCCAGATGTGCACTCAGCTGTCTGTAGGGGCACGTGTGGGGCAGTGGTCGAAGGCGTCCAGCAACATACATGTGGAATCGACCTCCGCGCTAATGGCACACCAAGTCTTCAATCCCTCTAAGGTCGGAAAATTGGTACCAGATTTGTCTGGGAAGATATCAGCACTGGCTCGATACATCGATAGGCCACCGCGAGTCGTTGTAAAGGCCAGATATGCATTCGATCACCTCTAGAAGGTGCCTAATGAAGTCGAATGCTTGGCGCACCCCTCAGGGATTGATCAACGCCGAGAGCTCTATAATTTTCTAAATTTCGTTTATTTTGGTGTGAAGTAAAACATGCAGTTGGTGACGCTGCGATAGTGACGATGTTCATCAAACTATGCATTCTTCAATCCAGACTGGGCCCACCAACCCTTCCGTGCCTTGGCGGCCAGGAATTTGTGGCAGACTAGTTCGCTCACTCACTTTAATTCATGTGAGAACGCCCATACACGGATATTTCAGGATTTTATGAAGAAATAATAGTACCAGTGTGTACCCCGAACCAAAGTTGATAAAATGCAATGTCTTGCTTTTTTGATAGATGTAAGCGATGTTGTTACGGAATCTTTGTTGTGGCTGTCATGGAGGCGTCTTCGCTTTCTCCGTAGCCGGGGTGGTTCGAATCGGGTTTCCGCAGCAGTTGGTTCTTTCATGCGATATGTATCTCCGTAGAATTCGTATCGAGTTGAACCCAATGAAAGACAGCACCAGGTGCGAATTTGCTTGTGTCGATGAATGTTAATAATTTCATAGGACTAAAAACGACCACAAACTATTTAAAGTACATGCGAGCAGGAAGTACGTTCCAGTTCACCAATTTCGTTTATTTAGTTAAACTATGCACTTCATTTTGCTTATAATTCCTTCCGAAATTTTTTCTTTCTTCCAAATTTCCAGGAAGCATACACTTTATCGATTCATTCTGTTGAGAGTTGTGGGTAAGAACTAACCTTTTCTAATCATCTCGAATTCGTGTTTACGTTAGAGCAGGCTGCTCGGAAGTATTGTGTGAGCGAGTAACGAGTGTTTTGCTTGAACCAATTTTCTTAACGGAATTGTTTCTCATGTCCCTTACAACTACAAGATTAAACGTTTCACCTATCTGTAGGCCTGGAGAGTAAGAGTTATACGAACGCGATTACCATAATCTTTTGTTGTCTTCAGATACTTAGCCTTGGCACGAAATTCATCTAATTTTGCCCTGTTTATACCATTTTTCCGTTTTTATCACTCTTCACCTACACTTTTTTACATGACCTGTCTCCACAACTAATGTGCGGATCCCAGCATTTCTTGGCATTAGCATTCGATTCGTTTCCTCCCATTCATCTTCAACCAAATTCTTCATACCCTTAATGTATGGGTTCAGTTCATGCCTGAGGATTGTAGTCTTCTTTATGAATGCCGTTGAATGCTGGCTGAGCCGATTCTGCCTAGGGTTCTGAGATGGCCAGGCTAGACTCCTACTTGGATTGTAGGCAGTGAACTTTTCGCGCAAAATGTGGCAGGAATTCGGCGTTCCCGGATTGATGCGCGCCATGATTAGCCCTGGGCATTGTATTCGAATCAGTGACCACGTATGTATCGTAGGGTAGTTGTTCCCATTGCTACACACGGCCTTTTATTGTTACTGCAATAACTATTATTCCTATTGTTTAAATTGACCTTATTGCTATAGTTTAAGAGACAGGGGAAACGAAGGAACCGCATGGTGTGGTGGTGAACGCGTTAGCCCTCGGATAGGGTAATAGCGCGTTTGTTCCCCACCGCACACACCTGCGGTCCGGAGTTTTCCAAATATCTTAACATCATCTTATTCCTGTAGTTGGCATTTTGTTCCATTATGTGCTTTATAATTATTAGTTTTCTATCCAATCTATCAAACTTACATCGATTTCCTACTAATCTCCATCCTCTCCTCGCTATTAGGAATAAAAACGATATGATTTCTGAATGATAACTTTTTCGTCTCACAAAAATAATTAAAACGCTCACTTTAACTTACTGCCTGATGTTCGCTTGTTTATTTATTGGAACATTTTTGCTCCGTCATTCATCCGACAGCCTCATTTTCGTCATGTTCCACCCCAATTTCGCTTTACAATATGTTAATTTAAATGTCGGCAGGGAGAACTGGAGGTATTATAACATCTTAGCGACGAGTGGACCTGCGTAGT